CAACATATAACATTCATTTTCATAGTATGACGATATGTGTATCTTTCGCAATAACAAAAAAAAACCTATCAAGCATGCCGTTTGTTTATTAACAAGCTTGTTAATGAATAGACCACATGTTCGATCGACTTTTTGTTATTGTGAAGGATAAATATATAGTCATTGTGGAGAAACGAACATCATAAAAAAAGATATCACTTTTTTTTACACAGTGAATACAATAGTCAATACTATATATTTCGATATTACTGAATCAATCTGATCAAGCACTAAGTATTGATCAAATAACCTATCATATAACCATTTTGAGAGAGTTCATATGACAGTTGATGTCAGAGTGAGGAGGGAGAGAAGATTCACGCATACACCCATACTCTTTTGTTGATCTATCAATCGAAATCTTTGATAATGAACTTGATAAAACCTACAAATACGTATAACAGTGATTGATGACTACGATTTTGAAGTTTCACGCAATGTTATCACTAAAACTCTCAGCTATGAACAAAGATCATCATTGAAATAGTTTGATGAAGTATCTAAACATTCATTCCCTAGAGTTTCATTATTAATAATCGATTGTGATGAGTTTTTACACGAAATCTAAACAGTATTGTGTTTGATCAAGGCAGATTCGAACCTCACATTTTTCATCAGATCTATTTTTTGCACACTTATGCTTGCAGAATAAAGTCACTAAATGTACATGGTCATAAACATAAGAAACGAAGAAGATTGCACATTATTTACATTGATGCAATTCAAATATAGTATTGATGAACAAGATTAAGAATATTGCTACTGTCAAGAATTAGTTCTATATGGTCTTTCAAAAATGATCTCTATAAAATAAATAAACATTTTTCGAAGTCAAATGATTTATCAATCGAATATTTTATATAGCATTTCGCCTGATTGATACTTTCACAGTTGATTTGATGAATCAAACAGTTCAATCTTCATGCAATGTTTTATTTCGTCTTTATTCTCTGAAACAATTCATTAGTATAGAGCGGATTTATTTCAGAAAACAAAGATTTCGAGCTGCACTTTCCAGTTTATTTTCTTTAGATAACATCAAATTACGAATTGATTCACGAAAACATTAAAAGAAGCTTACGACACATTGGTACATGTGATTTAACGGGACTCTTCCTATCCCGATTAAAATATTCACTTTTTCGTTTTTCATGTTCAATGTTTGTTATGTAGATTTAAATTTGAGCATGTAAAACGTCGAAAAAACTCGATTCTTTGCTAAAAAAGCCAAAAAGTGCAACTTTCTTTCCGATTTTCTCAAAATAAGATTTTCAAACAAAAAAAAATGAAGTTTGTCCCTTATTCTTCTACATGATACGGAAGACTGTGCTCACACTTTTTAACGAGTACTTCGATCAAGGTGGGATGCGTCGTTTTCTTTTCTCTTGAAAAGATTGTATTTCTGAAGTTTTATAGATCTTATAAAATTAGCACCATCCTAAAACAGTTTTTTGTAATGGTTTCTTGATAGCGCCTTTAGTATTTTACTTCTACTGAGTCTCAGCAACAATATTTTTAAAAACGCACAAGAGACAGTCACGGCGCGTCATATTCAATGATGGTGATCGATCTGTAGATGATGATAATTATTTGTAGTAAGAGTTGTCTTCTACACTAATATACGATTAGGAAAGTTATTTCTGCTGCTAATTCTCTACTCCTACCTAGTTCATGTCTGATAGATAGTTGATTACTACTCATTGTTCAAGGTATTATCTTTACGGTAATCTCAATCATTCCTTTTATTCTACTATTATTATTGTCGTTTTTATTTTATTGAAGATCACTATAAGTGCTCTCCCTATTGATCAAGCTATTTGGTATCGAATAGTTTGCTTTACTCATCGATGATATTTCGAATAACGGATGAAAATTGAAGTTTAACTTGTCTTGTGGAGTGCATACAATGAAAAAGTTGAAGATTGTCTGCAGATACTTTCGCTTCTATGTTTTTCTCTCGTTTTATTGAAGTCTTAATCAAACACGAATCAAAAACAATTTTATTCCCTACGGAAGAGTGCATCAGCAATGGTTTATTTTTCTACAATCATGAAAAAATGCTCTCGCCCACCATTTGCCACCATTTTCAGCACATTGAATGGATGATGTGAATAGACAAAATTGACCATCATTTAAGGGACAATTAATCTAAACTGGCGTCAAGTTCTCCATGATTCTTCCTCTAATGTTTGGAAATGTATAATCATTAACCCAGAGATAATAAAGTTCTATATTAGCCACACTTGGCCATGAAAAATGAGGCACATATATATCAACAACACCATTAGGATAGATAGCTGGTGGAGTGAGTCTATATATTTGATTGAGGTGATCGTGAAGATGATTTTGATTGTAGCTTACATTTGACTTTTCTCATAAACATTTGGGCTACTTTCTTTGTTCGTGAATTCTTTAGAGAATAGATCAAAAGTGCCTTTTCACTGAGCTGTTGGTCCTTGATCACTTCACTCATAATAACAAGCAACAAGCACAAATGACTATTGTTATTGGATAATTTCGATAGCACACTCCATATATTAATATATCGTGATAAACTGAAAAGTCTCCCGTTGTCTGAAGTGCTAAACCTGAATTCTTTGAGTCAAATCGATTTTGATGTATCTGTTCGTAAAATTATTTGTTGGCGTATTTGTTCAACAGCATATTAAAGAGACTAAAGTTTTGATGAAATGTTTCCGACAGGATACTCATCAGGTTCATATCTTTCAGCATCTTGAACCGTAGGCTTAATAATGGATGTCCTAGCAGTTATTTTAGAATTCTGAAATTCATCATTCTCGCGTTCAATAAAAGCAAACTCCTTGAAACTTTGGCAGACTAGTGTACATATCAAGTACTGCATAACTGCAAAGTTTGAGGTCTGTAACTTGCACTGTATATGAAAACCAGTAACAACATTATCATGTACTGCTTTTTTTCAATTTTCTTGATCATCTTTGGAGTATGCCAAAATGTTTGCAACATTTTTTTATTTTGCCTATACTTAGTTTAGGTCGATAATGAAATCTTAAATTTTTCAGAAAAGATATGCCATAAGAAGCTGTAGAAAAATTGTAATAACTAATTCCTATTGACTTGTGTTCTGCCATACTCAAAATGAAAAAACCTATAGGACTACTTCTCACTATACTGTGCATAATAAATAAATGTTTGGAAGACCTTTTTATTTTGCTTGCATCTCAGGTTGAGAAAATGAAAATACCTTGATTTTTTTTCAAAAGCTGCGCCGTTGAAAGCTCTACAAAAACTCTATGAACAAATTCCTATTGGAAAACAAAAGTCTTCCACACATTTATTTATTATGTATAGTATAGTGAGAAGTATAGCACTATCATATAGGTTTTTCCATTTTGAGAATTGTAGAAACTATTAACACAAGTCAATAGGGATTAGTTATTACAATTATTCTGCAGCTACTTATGACGCATCTTTAAAAGAAAATTCAAGATTTTATCATCTATCTAAGCTGACATATAGGCAAAATAAGAAATGTTGCAAAACATTTTCGCATATCCGAAAGATGATAAGGAAAATTGAAAAAAGCAGTACATGATAATGTTTTTACTGGTTTTCATGTATAGCATTAGGTATAGAGCTAAAAGTTTGCAGTTATGCAGTATTTGATATGTATAATAAACTGCCAAAGTTTCAAAAAGTTTGCTTTTGTTGAAAGTGAGAACTAAGAATTTGAAAATTTTAATAGAAGTTCTGGGACATGCCTTATTGTAGCCTGACCAAGACTAAAATAGTCAATGTTGAATATCGAGTAACAACATTATAGTGGCAAGTTATAAAAACTGTGTGAAAGAATGAAACATTTCGAGTAAGAAGCAATTATCATGCAATAAATCATATTTTAACATTGTGCTATCTTAACTTTATGTTAACTTGAAAGTCTGCTCTCTGTCAGAATACACCTGAAGAAGATTCCTATATCAAGAAAGATAGTCTCATGAAGTATGAATCCTATTTTTACAAGTTTAACGGTCGAGCTTTTTAAAATAAATATATTACTATATAAGAGAAATCACTAATAAATATTCCTGATGATTTTAAACAGAATTCAATACATGTATCTAGAAAATGTGCCGTGTAACGTATCATTTTCGACCGAAAAACAAAAACAAATATTCGATTAAGACTTCATATGCAGTTATCCGCACACAGTTGTTCTTTGTTGTCTTATTTCAGTGGCCGAACTCTGCTTACACACGGTATAATAGAAATCAATAGGCGAGAGATTTAGCAAACGTGTACCATTCATATGACTTCAGAAATGTGTTTCACACGAGTACTAATAGACAGCATATTTTCAATTGATTATTTAGATAAGTTTCTTGCTGGTATTTTTATCTAGTTAATCCGACAAAAAAAGTTTCTCCCTAGCAAGTAATAGTGAAGAACGATATTGTCTGCTGTACTTTACCCTAGAGAGTGACGATCGCCACGAATAAAAATTTGGTGACGAGTATAATTAAGTCAAATCTCATCTCAATGGAGCTGGCCAAAATTTTCAGGATTGACTTATGTCAGTAAGATATACGCTGAGTCAAAGTCTTAAGGGTTTCTGATGTATTTTCAGAGTAGATCAAACCAGGTTCAAAACATCAGCGTCGTTCGTTTCATATCTACTACAAGACAATCGAAAGAAAATAGTACTATTCAATGCGCAATACATTAAATCAGTAAAAAAGAAACGATGCCACGTTTTGTCGTTCGATAGGTTTGCATCGACGCACTACAATAACAATTGTGAATCATAGTACAAATATACATAAAGCTGCTATCGAACACAAAAGTGCACTTCGCTCCCTTATGTGAGCGGCACACAGGTGGCTGTGAAGCAAACAAGCAAAATATTTTATAATACTTCAATTTAACAAAATATACTGACAAATTTGGTGTCACTTTTTAACAAGTGTAGATTGATCAATCAAAATATGAACAGTTCCATTATTTGTCTTACTGCAGTTGTTATTGTCCTTCTATCACTATCATCGGCTAAAGCTGAGATTCCGACATGCCTTCAAGAAATGATTCATCCCATCCCAGATGGACCTGTATGGTATCAATTTACTCGAATTGACAAGTATTTGTATCGCGGCAAAATGACCTATCTGGCGACTAGCAACTGTTGTGATCGAATGAATCCTCTTTACGACGAAGAATGCACTTATATTTGTGCTCCTTCTGGTGGTTTTACAGGTCGTGGTGATGGTAAATGCACGGATTTCAGTAAAACGGCAAAGCCATTAGGTATCGCCTGGGTGGCTCTACCCGGTAAATAAATCAGCCCTACCAAACCTATTGACATCATAATATGATCTTTAAAAAGAAATAAAAGAATATAATTCAGAAACAATATATAAATATAAGCCATACAGAAAAAAAGCTTTCAACCCAATCTCTGCGACATGAAACTAAAATAAGATGGAAACGTTTTACATGAATATAAAGATATTGCTTTTTTTGTAATAATTTGATCGAAGGTTAAGTAAACATAATCACTCATTGTCTACGGCAGCGGGTAACTGAAACTAATTATTTATGACCAATACGATGTGAAAAAATTACATCACCGATTTGAAAATACATCAAATCTACGACACTTCTATCAAAATCTCTTGTTTTTGCTTGTGACCTATCGAACAATGCATCTCTCGATATTGCGCAATTTTTCTAATTGAATAAATCGTTTTCGAATGATAATTTCAATAAACTACGTATTAGAACTACTATGAATTATATGCAATCTATACGATTTGAAATAAAACATATTGTTTGTTTTTAATCACAAATCAATACTGCAAAAGAATCATTGCTAACAATGGATCATAACTCAAAATTTCGAAATTTAAAATGATTTTGATAGTTAACAGAAACAATAAAACTAAGGAAAAACCGTCGACAAAATAATTGACTTATTTCGAAGCATATTTTAGTTTGTTGAATACTACTGGGTGAATACAGGTGAATTATACTGCAGTCTGTACGATTCACGGAAAAATTGATCAGCAGAATTCACCAGTTTAGGATCATAGTTATCATCGATTAAATTACAAGTTACAGTCTAAATGTCATGCAACGATAAAACCAATGTGTATTTTACTTTAGAATTCATTTGTTGATGTGGGTACCGATCGAATGCTGGCCATCATAATGAGTTCTTTTCTCTGTCTTAATTCCCATAGACCTGGATGAAATTAAAGCTTGAATTGATATATGTAGTTGCGTCAATCATAATCATCGAGACGTTTTCTCATCAGACTAACGATGGTGTGTATCGAATCAGCAGAAAAACAAATAATTCGACTCTAAATGTTTCGAAGAATGAATTGATCTAGAATTATGCAACTTCGACCACCAGCTACTTCGATTCTAGTAGTTTTGGTTTAAAAAGTCATGTTAAAAAGCCTGAAACCTATCATATAGTGTGATTTTCCTCAATCGTCGTATACGTAAAATCAATACGCAGTTTTCGATTTGATACTGTCTGTCATCAAAATCGTTGAGAATGTGCTTATAAGTGTGTGAATGAGACTAGTGGTGAAGAAAAGGCCTTCACTTGTATGTCCAGAAATTTGCGCGATCAGCTATGAACCTTCAATGTCCTCGAAATTATTCAAGGGTGTGTGTGTGTCATTTTTGTCTTCAATCATATCCGCTTTCACAGTCATAGACACATCTATTTTCATTTTTAAAAAAACATTATCCTGTATCAGTGAGAGAATAATTCTCTATTTCTAATCACCAACCTGTTTAGACAAAAATAATTTGATCTGCATCAACAATAGTTTATTCAAAAGGCTTACAAACAGAAACACCTGAAGTCAAGATGAAATTTTAAATGATGCACTACCAAGTTATATCTGTAGTTATTTAATGTGACCGATGAGATGTTTAGTTATAAGTCTAGGTACAAGAAAAAGAAATGAGACGTCATACAGATTTTCGCAAAAGTAAAGTAATAACAATAGGAAGGACAGCATTAGAACTGGGGAGTGGACTCATTAATTGATTACAAGATACACAAGATACTTTGGAAGAGAATATGAAATAAGTGATGATTGAGATACAATGGTCCGTCACACGTTTTTTTTAGAAAATGTGTACAATTGCAGAAGAACTGGAAGCTACATAAAGTTTTCTTAAAATGAGCGCAACTTTTATACATGGGCTCTTTGTGATATTTCATCGTTTCTTTATAGATAACTCAGGAATGTTGTGTTCGTTATTGCTTTAC